GGAAGCTTGATTGTAGGGCTAGATCACACCCATTTCAATCTATAATTCATGTAAAGCAATACTTGCATTAACATTGCTTCCTCCAACTTTGATTCCCTACTACATGGCTAGAAATTGAACATCTCGAGCTTATTGTCATTGTTAAGAACACCTCTCTCTCTCTCTCTCTCTCTCTCTCTCTCTCTCTCTCTCTCTCTCTCTCTCACACAGAGAGTAAAGTTTCATGTGAGCTCTCCACCTCCCTGCTAGTTTGTTCTCTACCCGTTTTAATTAAGGCCAATGCCACACCCAATGGTTGATGTATGGAAAAACAATCAATAAATGTGAAAACCCAAACTATACTCTAAAACAACCACAAGGTCCTATGGTTCAAAATAAATAGTAATCTTAATTATTAAACAATTTATCATATTAAAACAGTTAAAAATAGTACAATAAAGTTTATAATGAGATTTAAGCTTTACAAATTAATAATTTTTGTTTGTTTGGAGATAAAAATTTTAGAATTATTTATCACATTAATTAATGAGCACTTTCATTATTAATAAATTTTATTACAATATATAATATATTTATACAATTAGATTAAAAATTATTTTATTTCAACTCATATTTATATATCATTTTGGTTGTTGCTAAGTTCAACTCTTTTTTTAATAATCAACATTTAAGGAAATAATATAGAATGTTTCAAAGAGTCATCATAGCTACAAAAGAAGAGGTTCATTTAAATATTGCGGTGTTTAAATTTTAATTTTTAAAAGATACTTTTTGCATATATTCCATATTTCATAAAGTAATTATCATATACTCTCTTATTGCATTATTAGTATGTCATTTAAAGATATCATTTGTTAAAACTATCAATTCAACATTTGAATCTTAGTCCTCCTTTTCTTTTGTTTATTGTCTAATATAATTTTCAAAATTTTGAACACAAGTAATGATGCTACCATTCAATAGTACCTACTATAAAATATAATTACCCTTTTTACTTATTATTTTCTTAAATGCACTAATAGCACATATACATATAATAGAGTGAAAAAAACCCAAATAATTTACAAAAATCTAGCAAAGACCAATGTACAATAAAAGAATAATATGGATGCAAATTATGTCCTGATTATATATTATTTTATTGATTCATCATTTATTAAAAATTTCAAATTGTGTTATCATAATGTTGTAGACCCAAAAGTTATATTCAAGACTATAGGTCTTGCCTATGAACTTGTTAATACAGTACATTGTAGTCAATATTCAAATTCAATTAGGCTAATAGGAACACCTATATTTAAATGAAATCTCATTTTAATATTAACTGAAGATAATGCTAAGTATTTATTGTGTTATAATTAAATGTCTCATAGTAAAAGAATAAGTAAAGACTATGATTATCATATCTAATATAGTAATAGTATTGCATAATCATTTCATATAACTTCGAATATAAGGATATACTAAAATGGATAGAATACAATAATACTTTCTATAGACTTTGTGAGGATGGATTTTCATCAATAATGAGAATTATATGCATTCCATAAAATATAATTTATATGTTAATCATGCAATATAACCTTGAATTTTATATAGATATATAATGTAAATCGATCTCACAAGATTACTACAAATGTGGCTTTCTCTCTTATAAACAAGCCAAATGAAATTGCCTTGAGTGAATTATGAGATGCAAAAAGAAATGAATAATTACATATGTAACTAGATGATTTTTTGTACTATATAACTGATGCATTTACGCGTGTCACGATCAAACTATTCTGAATTTGATAAAATAGAAAAATATGGGTTGGAGTTTTATCACCAGTTTTGATATTTGAGCGAGAATTTGCAAAATGAATGAAAGAGGGTGGTTAATTTGTAAATAATAATATTTGGGCTGGCCTGCATGCAATTGGCACTGTGATCTCGTTTTAACTAAAATTCTAATCACACAAAAAGTCAACAAAGGAGAAGAAAATCTATATTTATGAACGTGCAATAAAAGAGATTAGGCGAACTCCGCCTGACGTCTTTCTAGCTATTGAGAAAATAATAATGAAAACGACTAATAACAATAATAAATTGGGAAATTACATACAAACCACTCTACACTTGCCAATTTACAAATCAACCATTCTATTTCGTCTTTTTTTTTTCAAATTCTCACTCAGATATCAAAGTTCTAAAACCCCAATCTCTTTTTTTTTTTTCATTTTTATCAAATTCTCAATAGTTAGTCGTGACACGAGTAAATACATCCGTTCACGGTTAATTTGTAAATATCAATCTTTCGGTTGATCTGTATGTAATTAACACTATTTTTTATTACAGTTAATAGACTTCATTAATCCTTCTAAACTTCACCACCGGCAATTGAACTTTTCCATGCGCTTCTTGAAATTCGCAGCTCGATCAAACGCTGACGCAGATGTTGGAAATCGCAGCTCACAGCTCAGTGATTGAAACGCTGAATGTTAGAATCTGTGTTTATAAGATATGAATTGAAAATGTATAATTATTTATCTGTTATAGCGTAACTCAAATTTTATGTATGCGGAATGTTATTTGATTAAAATAAAGTTAGAAAAATTTAATGTGATGCTCACGATGCTGAGAAAATATTGCGTCCGGAGCTTGCATCTTGCGTCCGAACAATGGACGCGATGCAGGAGATGCAGCGGAGGGAAAAAAAAAAACATTGTTTGTATCCCATGCATCGCGTCTGTTGTCCGAATGCAATATTTTTTTCACATGACCAGACTGTTTTATTCAATATCTGTCACCACCTAATTCATATGTATTTATATATGTAAAGGCTATCCTTTTATGCAGACAATGGGGTATGTAGGTAAAAATTGAAGTTTAGGTGCTAGATATGTAAATACATATATATTAATTGTTATGTAAGTATTTTTATTTTTATTTTTAGTTTATTTTTGCCAAGAAATGACATTACGTACGTAAATTGCAATTAACAATACTAATGATTGGTAATAATATTTTTAAATATAAATAATTAAATTTTATGAAAAGAAGTAGAATTAATCTAATTTATTCCCTTCTCCGTCCATTCACATTGGCGGTTGGACCGGGGACGCAGTCCGGTCTTCCTAATCAAACCAATAGCTTGCCCGCAAAAAAGTCTATGTGGTCCCAGAACTCATACATTATTTGTCCAAAATAGAAGTCAGACGTATATTTTCCTATTGCCGACTTCGTTATAGAGCATACGGGAATTGGTAATATTAATTCTATTGTATGATTGTACACCAAAAAATATGTTCTCATGAATCTCATGACAATCCAACAAAGAAAAAATAAATAAGTTGACAAAGCTGGACTGTACGTCAAAAATGTGTCAGCACGAATCACGAAATAATCTCACGGGTGGTGAAAGAGATGATAAGGGCTTACATAGCCTACGATACGCTCCCGAGCCACATGCTCGATCGCCCAATTCATCTTATCATAGAGGCAGGGGTGCCTCCAAAGAGAAATAAATCATCCTTGAAGAATCTAGGATACCAGTCCTGCTCAGACGAGCCCATCGCATTCCAATTAGTATGAGGTCTTCAGAAGGGAGCAGACCCTTTAACTCCAGGATTACTGGTGCGAACTCTCGACAAGAAGTCAACCGGCCACACAGCCGTCGGGCCTTGGGCCACCGAACCTTATAGTTGCTCGGCCTCATAATCATTCAATGCAAAAGGTCACTAACCGACCTCATCAATAGACCCCACAAACCAAATTTATGTATGGACTGAGATATTCCCAATGTACTTGCGACTTTTAGAGGTACAATTTCATGAATAAAGGTTACACAATTTTGTTGTTCAATATTGTGTTATTACTCATTCTCTCTCTCTCTCTCTCTCTCTCTCTCTCTCTCTCTCTCTCTCTCTCTCTCTCTCTCTCTCTCTCTCTCTCTCTCTCTCTCTCTCTCTCTCTCTCTCTCGTGGCCGCCTATAACGCTCTATTCCTTGAGTGTGTTTCTTGGACAGATTTAGATTTAGCATGGATCCACCTAAAAAGTGACTTGTGGACCAAGAAAAACTAACCCGCTAGCCAACCGACCTAGCGATGCACTTTCAGAAAACATCCTCTGTTCGATGATACAACTCTTCTCTGCCTACAAAATTTCCATCAACAAAAATCGAGGATTGAAAACCGCCTCAAAAAATCTAACCCGCCAACATCTATCAGATCTACCCATCTCACCAGCTATTTCCAAGAATTGTCCCGGTCGTCAATACCTGAAGGGTTGATCGACCGACAATCCCCGTGGAAAATGCTGACTAGTAGCACTAATCGATTCACCTCTTCGGCCCTAATTGACGGAGCCACAGAATAACAAGACCCTGGGTCAACATGGGTTTATTTACTAAAATAACTTATAAAACCCCCGTAGAGCGGGGTTATAGATGCAATTTTCTTTTGTTGAGCTCTTCCTTCTCTCATGTATAAGAAGCGATTTTAGGTTTTCAGCCCTTCACTCTCTCCATGTCCCAAAAACATATAGTTATAAAATTTTAAATAAAAAAAAACTCATAAAAGTCCGGGAATATCACATTTTAAAGCCCAGAAGAGCAACTTGATGTGCACTTCTCATCTCTTTTCTCTCTCCCCTTTTCTGTTGGTTCAAATGCTCGAATCCTAATTCAGCAAAGATTAAGATAATTTAATAACTTATAACTAATATATCATTAACCTCACCTTCAAGTTCATGAAGTCGATATTTGTGATGTCACTGCCATGCTCAACCTTTATTTACAGGGCTACATAGATCTAAATAGGTAAATAAAAAAAAAATTGGGCATGGAATTTATAATTAGCAATGTTTTGTGAGGTAAGAATGTAAATCCCGAAAATATAATGACTTTTTTTAATTTACAAAAAAGAATTTATTTGGACCATATTATCCAGAGGCAAAAATTTCCCACCTTCTGAACTGTCAATAAACCGCGTCCAACCGAACCATCTCTGAAACTCCCGCCGCCAGACTCAGCTATAACCCACACGCACCTCTCCCGTTAATCCACCTCTCGCCTCCAATGCACATCTCACCATAATGGTCCTCCCTACGAAACCCAATTCATGGTTATGCGAACACCACTCCATCCTCTCCACCTCCATCGGAATCCTCGCATTCGAGGCCGCCGCCGCCATGTCCCGCCTGGTTTCCCTCCACCGCTCCCTCTCAGAACCCGAACTCCGCCGCCTCCGCGCCGACACCATGCGCTCCCCCGGTGTCGCTTACCTCACCTCCACCGACCAGCACTTCCTCTTGCGCCTCGCCTGTGCCGAACTCTTCTCCGATCTAGACTCCGCTGCAGCTACCGTCTCCCGGTTCTCCATCCACTGCGACTCCGAACCCCTGCTCTCCTTCCCTCGCACCTATGCTGGCATCAAAGCTGGCTCCACAACCACCCATATCGTAACTCTATCAGTCAAAGGAGTGGAACGCCGAGTCAAGCAGATGGAGAAATGCGTTGCCGTTGTTGTGAAGCTCTTGGAGGAGATGGAAGCAGGGGGAAAAAACATGACTTTGGTGAAATTCGGTACGCTGGTGCCGCATAAGCCGACGGCGGAGATCAATTCGCAGATAAAGAAAGTGGGGAAGCTAAAGGAACAGTCTTTATGGTGCAAGACGTTTGACGAGGTGGTAGCGCTCATGTCACAAGTAGTCCTCGCCATCTTCGCACGCATCTGCGCCGTCTTCAGCCCCTTCGTTCCGGGACTGCCTCCAGTACTGATCTCCGGCTGCCGAATGAGCTTCAATCCATTCAATCCGAGATTACGAGTTTATCCCCTGTTCACCAGCAGGCCTTACGCCTCCGGGCCGATAGACCGAACGAAAGCAGCTGCCAAAGAAGTAGCTTTCCGAAACTCATGCCCAATCATAGGCAGGGGAAACAGTGAAGGAGAGTACAAGCTCCCTCAGGACTGCAAGAAAGTTTTAAAGCCGGAGGAGAGAACGGTGGGCGGCTCCGGGCTGATGATTCAATATGCGAATATCATCTTCACAGCTGAGAGGTTGATGAGGATTAAGAATGGCGCGGAGGAAGCAGAAGAGGGGGAAGTCGCGGCGACAAGAAATGAAATATATCAGATGTTGCCAGCGAAGCTGCAGGGGATGGTGAGGAGGAGGTTGAGGGAGAGGTGGAGGGAGAGAGGAGCTGCTGACTGCAAACTTGCGGAAGGGTGGAGAGAGGCTGTGGAGAGAATACTGAAGTGGTTGGGTCCGGTGGCTAGGGATACAGAAAAATGGCGGGAGGAGAGGATGATGGACAAGCGACGGCGGTTGAACACAAAGCCGCGTGTTTTCGCTCTACAGACTCTATTGTTCTCTGATAGGGAGAAAGTTGAAATGGCGATTGCCGAGGTCCTCGTCGGGTTTAGCTGCATCTGCTGGTATGAGGGCGACGGCTACATCGCCGGGGACGGCTGCTGCCGCAATTCATAGTGGTCGTTTAGAATGGGTACTATGTAAAAGTAATTATAAAATTATTATAATAAAAATTATTTTTTAGGTCATAGCAACATTATATTTTTTCTTGGGGTTTATATACATAAAATTTTGAAGTTCCAATTTATATTTTTCTTCCAGTTCATTATCCCCAATCATAGACCAGTTCTCTCATCTTAGCTATCTACTTATGAAGAGCAGATTTGGAGTTCTGATTAGGGAATATGATTTTAGGTTTTACAAATCCAATATCCATTGTGATAAAATTGATGCGTATTATGGGAATGTAACACTTGTAATCTTTCAAATGCACACGCTATAACTCAAAAAAATACATCAAATGACATATGAAACAATATTAGTTCTTTGGGTCACATGGAGGTGAATGGAGCAAGCCTTGATATTTTTGGTTGGAGCTTTAGAATAGACAAGAGCAGTGTCATATCATATGTGTGCATATCAAGATTTTTTTCCTCGCTTAGAATGACTGTCATTATTGTGTTCAAGCCCCAGTGTGAAAAGTGGATGGTTGTGTTAGGTAGTCGACAACCAGCATAAAATTTGTCAAAAAAGTATGATATGAATCCTTTTGATCATTTTGTAACTGCTACGGCGTCCCCTGGAACCGACCTGTTGTATGACCTGAACAGTGAAAAGTGTACAAGGGCTGCTACACCGGCGCCCGGTTGTAATGTAATAAAGACAAGGGTTCACATATTACGGACGGATGCAAGAAAATAGTTAGTCCCGTGAAACTAATATAGAATATGATCTTGGAATATAGGTACTCTCACTTTTAAATTAATGGAATTAGTTTATATTAGTTTTAATGGAATTAGTTTATATTATGATTCATAGAAAGATAAATATATTATGTATTCAAGAAACTAAATTGGTTAAGGAAAAGGCTAAGGAGATTGATAACTTAGGCTTTAAATTTTGATATTTAGGTAAGAGTCACACTAGAAATGGTGTAGGTGTAATTTTATGTAAGAGTTTGAAAGATAATGGAATAAAAATTAATAGAATTGGAAATAGAATTATAGCCCTTAAATTTATTGTTGATTCTAAGATTTTTAATATTATAAGTGCTTAGCTCCTTATGTAGGTTTAGATATAAGTTCAAAAGATAAATTTTGAAATGATTCAGAAGACTTAATACAAATGATATCTTTTGAAGAAAGAATTTTTATTGGAGGAGATTTAAAGGGACATATTGGTAGAGTAGTTGAAGATTTTAGAAATATTCATGGTGGCTACGGTTTTAAAATGATTAATGAAGAAAGTAGAGTCATATTAGATTTTGCTTTAGCTTATGATTTTGGTATTGCTAATGCTTTGTTTAAGAAAAGAGATGAAGATATTATTACTCATAAGAATGAATCTAATAAAACAAAAATTGATTAATTTCTTATGAGTAAAAAAGATCGTCGAAAATATAAAGATTGTAAGGTCATTCATACTCAACATCGAATATTAGTACTCGATTTTAAGATTAAGAGTTTTAAAATAAAGAATATTAGAAATCAACATTGTAGAATTAAATGAAGGTATTTAGAAGACACAAACAAAATTTTTTTTTATGAGTAAAATTCAAAATTCTAAGATTTGGGATATTCATGAAGAAGCAAATTCAATGTAGGATGAAGTAACAAACGCTATTAAACAAGTGAAAAAAGAGGTACTTGGAGAATCTAAAGAAAAAAAATTATAAATAAAAATAGTTTGTGGTGGAATAATAATGTGCAAGAAAAGATAAAATATAAGACGTTTTGTTATAAAAATTGGTTTAACTGTAAGAGCTTAGAGAACTGGGAAAAATATTAAATGACCATAGAGAGTCTAAAAGAACAATCTGTGATATTAATAATTTTGCTTTTAGTGATCTTTATAACATATTAAATAGTAAGGAGAGTAAAAAATATATGTATAAACTAGTCAAATAAAGAGAAAAGAAAAATAAAGATCTAACTCAAGTAAAGTGTATTAAAGATGAAAATCAAAAAGTACTTTTCTTAGAAAAAGATATTCAACATAGGTGGGTGAGTTATTTTGATAAACTATATAATGAAGTTTCTGAAAATATGGTCGACATTAGTGGTCTTAATATCATTAATAATAATAATAATAATAAAATGTTTCTTTTTTAGCACTGCATTAGTAAAATAGAGGTTGAGGAGGCTTTAAAGAAAACCAAGGGTGGAAAGTCTGAAGGACCTGATGATATCCGAATTGAAGTGTGGAAAGATATAGGATATTTGTGAGTTTATTGGCTTACCAAGCTCTTTAATATTATTTTAAAAATTTAAAAGATGCATAAGGAGTGGAGGAATAGTATTTTGGTCCCCATTTTTAAGAATAAAGGGGATGCACAAGAGTGTGCAAATTATAGAGGAATTAAGTTGATGTGTCATACTTTAAAATTATGGGAGAAGGTAATTGAATATAGGTTGAGACTTGTTACAAGGATTTCTCATAATCCATTTGGATTTATGTCGGGCAGGACTACTATAGAAGCTATACATTTATTGAGAGTTTTGATGGAGAAGTTCAGAGATAATAAAGAGGATCTACATATGATTTTTATTGATTTAGAATAAGCTTATGATAAGGTTCCAAAAGATATCCTTTGGGGAGTTCTTGAGAAGAAAGGTGTTGATCTGACTTATATTCAAGTCATTAAAGATATATATATTAGAGTTGTTACTTGTGTCCGAACAGAAGAAGGATTGACCAAATATTTTCCTATTTCTGTTGGATTACATCACTAATCGACTTTAAGCCTATATCTTTTTGTTTAGTTATGGATGTTCTTACCGGATGTTTACAGAAGGATCTACCTCGGTGTTTGCTTTTTGATGATGATAATTTCTCGTGGATAAGTCGAGAGAGAAAGCTTAGGAAAAACTTGAACTATGGAAGTCTACATTGGAGTCTAAATGCCTTCGTTTGAGTATAACTATAATTGAATACACGAAATGTAATTTTAGTAGTAGTAGCACTAGTGACAAAATTATAACTATGAGTTATCAAATTATTAAAAGAAGTGAACGCTTTAGATATCTTAGGTTTATTGTTCAAATTGATGATGATATAGATGGGAATGTTATTAGTAGAATTCAAGTTGGTTGGTTGAAGTGGAGGAATGCTTTGTTCTTATTATGTGATAAAAAATTATCGCTTAGACTGAAAGGAAAACTTTATAAGATGCTGGTGAGACCTGTAATGCTCTATGGCGCTGAATGTTGGCCTTTAAAAGAGAAGTTTAAAACTAATTTAAGTGTTGCTGAGATGAGAATGATTCAGAGGATGAGTGGGTTTTTGCTTAGAGACAAAATGCGAAATGAATATATCCGTGATAGGGTTGGTGTAACTCCACTGATAGATAAAATTAGAGAGAGTCGTCTTAGATGGTTTGGTCACATTAAACGTCGACCATCCAATTAGGAGAGTAGATGTTTTAAATTCGACTTATGTTAAGAAAGACAAAGATAGACCTAAAAATAGTATAAAAAATGATCTTAATTTATTAGAATTAAATGAAAATATGACGCTCAATATGATGCAATGGAGAAAAAGGATTCATGTAGCCGACCCCACTTAGTGGGATAAAGGTTTGTTGTTGTCCTCTTCGTTGTTGTTGTGTTCTCTTAGAATGAATCAACAAGCTTTTTCTTTTGAGACCAAGAAAAAGGCGGCTTCCATGCTTTGAATATGTAGTAGTTGGTTGATTCGGGCTTCTTAGCTTTCCTAATTAGCCACAGAAATGGTCACCAAACGCTAAACTGCTTCGCTGAATGCTCTTCTGATCACCTGTTTTAGGGACAAGTGGATGCCAAATGGATGAACAGACTGCTTCTCTGCAGAAGAGAAGAGAAGAGAAGAGAGAAAAATAAATAAATAAATAAAAACTGCGCTTCTCTGCAGAAGAAACTGGCTACCAAAATGAGAAAGGAGATTTTCAGATAACCTTTGGTAATGCCGCTACACTAATCAACAACTGCTGTTAACCAACATTTGTAACTAATTAAATTTTAGTGAAGATTAGCGACTGCATATAATTAATAATGATGTTTAAGGTTTTGTGCTATATTTATTAGTAGATTTACTGTAATTAATATGCATTACAGATTATAGTTATGCTGCCGCAAATCCATTACAAAACTGAAGATCATTACCGTGTAGTTTCAGTTTATAATATATATATATATATATTACATTGAAAATAATAGTTTATTTAAAGTTCTCACGATGTTATAAATTTATTTATTTTTTAAAAAGTTTGATGATAATTATTTTTAACAATTATCACATATAATAAATTTGCCGCGAGAATCATACATAGTAAATAGAGCACAAGGTATGTGTGAGTGAGAGAGAGAGAAAATGAATAGTAATGAACAATAATCTATCAAGAGTCTAATTAATTATAGGGGAGAGCGTACAGTATGATAATGTTATATTTCTGCCCTTGCTTAAGTGTGTTAAGTACTAAGGTATTTTTGATATTTTACAAATATGATCTTATCGTCTACTTGCTATTTGACTCTACAGGCTAAGCTGAATTGGCTTCGGGTCGGCAGCATCAACTCGACCGACCTTGGTTGATAGGAATAGCTCGATCTGTTGAGTCTGGTAAGCATGGGTCAATCTATTGATCTTGTTTGGCTATCGATCCTTGATAGCTGGTGAGGGACCACTGGACGTCCCTAGATGATTGGAGCCATCGAGGCACTAGATCTTCCCTTGAATCGACTTTAATTTTCTTTTGTGGTTGGCTTTGATGTCTCTTTTTCTGCTTTCTGACTGACTTGTTCGGACTCATATCATTTGATCGTTCTTTTGACTTTCCTACGATTAAATTGGCTTTGGCCTTGCTAGCTTTGGCTAAAACAACATCACTCGGTCGGATAAGTGGGTCTCATGGTCTTCTACTAGTGGACTCATTCTTTATCGTACTCTTTATTTCTAGACTATTAGATCTCCACAAAATCAACACAGACTTACTTTTTTATGTACAATATCACAAAAAATTTTAAAAAAAATATGTATGAAATTATAGCCTGATATAATTATTTATGATAATTTTCCGAAAAATGAAACACTGAAAGACGACCAAAACAGACCTTTGAACTTATTGCAAATGCATTGAAGCAGTGAAGGCAGTTCTCAAATTCCTCACTATTTCCTGCCAAGCCAACACCAACCATCCAATCTTTTACAATTCAACCCATTTACATTTATACATTAATATTAACCACCATTTTTTTTTTCATTCAACTGATTATATTTATTTTTGTAAAAAATGAATAATATCCTTTTTAAAGCTAT